GATAGACGGTCTAGAATCTGGTGCTTCACGAGTTAAATTGAGGGGACCCGTGGCATCGTACCGTACTGAGAATGATGCACGCATGTGACAGCTAGCACAATTGAGGCCCTCTTTATATCCCACGTCAAAATTTTTCACCATGTCACATCAAACGATTGAACATGTGCATAAAGTATTAAACGTAGGCTAAAAATAACTAGTTACACAAATTCCGACTAATTTGCAAGACAAATTTTTTAAGTCTAATTGCTCTATGATTTGACAATGTGGTGCTACAGTAAACATTTGCTAATGACAGATTAATTAGGTTTAATAAATTCATCTCGCTGTTTACTAACGGATTCTGTAATTAGTTTTTTATTAGTGCCGAACACCCCATGCGATAGCCTATATACCACCCGATGTGATACGCCAAAACTTTACACCTCTAGATCTAAACACCCCCTGAGTTCTATTTCATATGGTTTCTCCCTCCTCAGAAACCAGAATAGAAGTACTTTTAAAGTTTTTTATTTATGGTCATTAAGAATATATGGAATTATATGAGATGGTTGTGATTGTTTGAGATAAAAAAATTATGTGGAAAAAACTAAATAGGAAATAGTTATATGCTAGTTGGTTGAGATGATAGAGCAGCTAAAAATATAAATATATTTTTGGGATAAAATTTAAATGTCAGACTAATATATTTGGGATGGAGGAAGTAAAATATAATCACTTTATAAGTCATTTTTTCACGAAAATTAAGAAGATATAAATTATTGAGAAATAGATACTATTTGGGATTAGATGAAGTAGCTATGGATATGTTTGGTGAAATACTTTTGGTAGTGTCAAGGCCTAGATAAGTTTTGGACTACCAATTCTTTGATAGGATATAGTTGTATTTGGTTTGATGCTACATTAGGGTGCAAACTTTAAGTAGAATCTAGAAAATGCCTAATCGGGTATTGCCATACTGGCAATTCCAATGATTCCAATGATTTGGCTTCAAACCAAAACCACCACGTCTACTATTTAAATTACCAAAATATTTTTTTAGAGAAAACTACCAAAATATCGGTATAGCACACATTTAACATTAATAAAAAAATGTCCTATATTTTAGAATAATTTCTATATATGGGATAAATTCTGAGTGTTAGTTAAGATCAGAGAGTATGTGAAGAGTTATATTTTGGACAAATTTTTTGGGTTTGGGGAGTATATTTTGGGAAAAAAATCAGAGATGAATCCTAGTGAGTCTATTAATTCAGTTCCCTAGGATGATCGATGCGGCGTCATCATACTTCAGAGTGCACGTTCTGAACAGGCAACAGATAGAGGAATCAAGCGCTAGCTACATTGGATTATATTACTAGCTCGGATCGATCATATCGACATATATATATTCCACTATGCCACTGTCCGGTTATGTAGGCTGGTCCATCCCACCCAAGAGCACATACGTACGCTTGCACATATCCATCGCGAATTCGCAACGCCAAGGTGAGCACCGAGCCACCGATCGAGCACGTCTTTTGATCGAGATGATCGCCGGGTTAGCTTAACTTGGCGCACGCGCACGTTTTGCCACTGGTCTCAAGTCGATCGCTCCGGCGATTATTGCGCGTGCGCCGCCGTCCCCTCTCGATCTGCCACACTACACGCCGTGCGCGCGTGAATGGCGTGATTTAGAGCCTGTTTGGTTGCTACCCTGAGAAAAATTTGCCTGACCTTATACAAGCCTGAGCATAACATGTGGTTGTTTGGTTGCTAGCCTGACGCATATTCTCCCTCGCCTGGCCTGAATCCCTCTGGCGTGGGATTAGCCTGAGTCAAGCGACCAAAAACGGTCGCCTGAGCTCCAAGCGTAGCAGCGCTCTACAGTTACATTCCTAATCCTCTTTAGACAGGCCACGGGATGCTGCTGCTGACCAGTGTCGCATCGACACCACACGAGTCGCCGCTGATGCCAGTGCAGCCGCCGCTGCCGACACCACACGAGGTCGTCGCCGCCGCCAACGACGACGAGTGAAGCCAATGCAGCCGCTGCCGTCGACACCACACGAGGCCGTCGCCGCCGCCATCGACGCCGACGACAATGAGTGAAGCCAGCACAGCCACCGCCGACGACAACGTGTGATGCTGGCGCCGCCGCAACCGCACGAAGCCTAGTCAGATCAGATGCCGTCTTCTCTGCTACATCATTGGATCCGGCCGTCCACACGAAGCGGCTGCCGCCGCCTGCTGGATCTTGTGTCCTAATCTTGCTTAACATGTAGATGTGAGAAATTCCTATGGTCTTGCTTAGGCTTAGCATGCAGATGTGAGAAATAATGGAAGGTTGATGCGGCTGGATTTGGGGATCTCTTTTCTCATGTTCTCCTCTGATTCTCTTCTTGATGCATTCGATTGATTTTTCCATGGTTTAGATTTATTTCGGTTGGAGGGACGATGCAATTTTATGGTAAGATTTGTTTCTTTGCTATAAACATGTTTAGCTGTAATTGTGTGAAGCATAATCGTAGTCTTCTCTCTCAGGCCATGGTGGCCAACCAAACAAGTAAGGTCACAGGCTGCTTGGACAGGCAAAATTCATGAACTGGTTATGTGCCTCTCAGGCATGCAAATTTGATAGGCTTGGTGCTCAGGGCACCAACCAAACAAGCCCTTATTATACCGGCCGTGCGCTCGATCTAGGCGTTATTTTTTCGCTGCGTCGCGCGTGCGAATCGATCGATAGAATTGACTGATCTTGCCACTGTTTTGGGTGGGTTTTTTCTTTGCTTTGCTTTCTCTTGAATCTTTGATCGATCGACGTACGCCGTCCTTACCACTGTGCATCTTTTGGTTTATAATTAGCGGCGGTCCCGGCCGGCCGGGTTAGAAGACTGACGTCGATCGATCGATCTCCATGGACATTGGTTACTGAAAAGCGAGTAAAAAGTTAGAGCTAGCTATAGCATATGTCCTTGGACATAGGCAGTAGCTCCAGAAGAATTAATCCTGATTAGATTTGCCTACTGCCTGCTAATTAATTATTACTAGTATTAGCCTGCATGTTACGTTAACGTTGCTGTCTGCGAAGCACCAAAAAAAGGTTACAATTGTGCAGAGTGCAGCCGTGCAGGCTAGCTAAAACAGCAGACGGTTGGTGACTTGGTATGACCGCTGTGTGCGCGTGTTAATTTTCTGTGAAAAACATGTCTTGGTTGTTGGATCATATAGATTGGTAATGGTGGCTCGTGTCGTGCAGACGTGCACAGCAGTCTGAACAAAACCGGCAGGAGCCCAGCCCACACAAGCGGAGGCGATCTTTTTGGGCTTAGTCTACTGGGCCATCGCATGCGCTACAAAAAACAAGACTATATGGCCAAGGAATAAGTCTACTTAAACTCCCTTAACTAGTGGCCGAATCTGATTTATATCCTTTGAACTACAATACTAGATCTCTTGACCCTTTAACTATAAAAACCAGAGCAATTTGACTCTCTCGGTGGTTTTAGAGAGAGATTTCACTGACGTGACGCTTTGACTTGGTCCATCCTGCTGAGTCAGCATATGGGCCCAGATTTCATTCTCATCCCTTATTCCTCCAATCCTCCTTCTCCCTCCCTCTCTCTCTCTCTCTCTCTCTCATTCTAGCTTTAGTCCCCTTCCTCCCCGGTCAGCTTCACCACAGCGACTGGTGGGATGACGACGGGGAGTACCGGCGGTGTTGGCGAGACGACGACGGGGAGCGGTAGCGGAGACGGCAGGGCTTTGCTCTCTCTTCCACACTGGCCCCTTCCCCTCCCCTCTCTCCCCCAAATTCTGCAGGACCACAGCAGGGCAGTGGCGAGGATGCAACAGAGCGACGGCGAGTGCCTCGACGTCAACTGTCTCCTGCACCACCAGGAGAAGCAATACGGGGGGACACGGCTCGTCGATGGCACAACGGAGGAGTAGTGGACACCTCGACCTCCTGGATCCAAAAGTCAGAGCAGAGAGGCACAATGGCTACCTTCTCCTCGGCCGTCTTGGAGGCCGAGCAGAGTGAGGCCAGAGCGAAGGAGGTTGGGCGGCGGCGGAGCGGCGTGAGCGGAGGAGGTCGGGCGAGGCGAGGCGGGAGAGGGGGAAGCCTGCGACAGCAAAGTGACGGCGGTCCAGCCCAGGCAGAAAAAAACTGGTCCCCGAATCGACAGCATGCTAGGGGAGCAGCTGCGGTGTGGAATCCCCAAATCCACGAAGGAGAGCAGTGAGTTCGAGCCGGACTGGCGGCTCAGCGGTGGCTCCTGCGTTAGGATGACATGGATGGCGGGAAGCGCACGGCGACGACGGCGGCGTTTCTCCCCCATTGTTGGGACCGGCGTAGGGGCATCGGTCTCATGGGGAGGCGGAGGAGCTCAGCGTTTCTAAGGTGAGGAGGCGGTAGCAGAGCTTCGAGGGGACTGAGGCCACCTGCTAGCGGTGCTCTCACCAGCATTCTGCTCCACGCCGTCGCCACCGCGACCACGTTCGCCGCCCCTGGGTGGTCGTGGACGTCCTTCGCCTCCGTCCGCATAGGCCGTCGCCACCGAAACATGGCCCACCTGCCAGTGTAACGCTTAAGCTGACTCAGCTCTGTTGAATGTGGTCAATGTGACACGTCAGCGTAAAACCGCTTTGAAAACTGCTCTGGGAGTCGGAATGCTCTAGTTTTAACAGTTTAGGATTCCACATATCTGGTATTATGGTTGAGAGTTACGAGTTAGATTCAAATTCGGTCCACTTTTCAGGGAGTCAAATTGAACTTATTCCTATGGCCAACGTCCAGCCCATATACGATGATCTGGAACTGGACTACGGCCTACTTTTGGCCCATGATATATGGGCTGGAACAGGAATATGCACATACAGAAACTCGGGTATCTTACATGGAATTGGTGAATTTGGTTAACTTTGAACACCACCTGATCTGCACCGTTGCAAGAAATAGTACACACAAATAACTGAAGATGACTAGATGAGTGATCAGCTCTCTCCCAAAGGAAAAAAGATGACAACAATGAGACCCTCTTTTCAGTATAAATAAGGCACAGAAGAACTATCAATTCTTGTAAGTTATACACCAGTCAAGGCTACATTCAGTAATCAGTTACACTTGCACACAGATCATTTACACTACACAAAAAATGGTTAGGAATGAACTGTTCCAATCAATCCCATATCGAATTGCCACTTTTCCAGCCCCCCATTCTAACCAACCGTGTACTAGTGCTAAACACAACCGGGGTTACAAACATTTTACATTTTACACAGCTAAACTGCACCAGAGTACCAGGCTATCTGAGTCCTGAGGGGCTGAACGGCTAGGTTATACCATGAATTCTATTGTCAGGACGAGCTCCGGGAGGCCGTCTTCTCCGGCTTGGACAACTTCCCGGCGGATTTCCTGACATCAGTCAGCTCCTTCACAACATCGGCCATGGGCGGCCTTCGGCTCGCTTCCTTCGCTGCGCACCTAAGAGCCAAGGACAGGACCTTGCTGACTTCCTCTATTTCCACCGTGCCATAGACTTCCTCCATCAGCGTCGAGTCGCAGACGAGTTCGATTTGGTCGGTGCCGTTGAGCGTTGCGGTCACCCAACCGACAATGTCCATGTTGTCGGGGAACGAGGGATCCACCACCTGTTTTTTTGTTAGCAGCTCAAGGAGTATGACGCCGTAGCTGTATACATCGGACTCGATACTACTCCTGGTGGAAAATGCCAACTCTGCAAGGAACAACAGTACAGCACAGCCCATAAAAATCTGTAACATGAATATAGAATTGATAGTTTCAGGGTTATCCTCAGCAAAACAGTAAGACGGCAATATATAATTAAACAATTTTGTAGTCGCTGATTATTTTGTTGTTTTGGCTTTCCAATAGTATTGTCAAAGTTAGCAAAAAAATTCTACAGTTATTTTATTATTCTATATTTCAGGGACTAAGTATTCAGTGTTGTCACTTTCATTTTCCACCTACAGGTTCTCGATGGCATTTTACAAGTTAGAAATAAGGGTGGGTGCAGTTACTGCCATGTATAATTGGATTGAAACTGCAGAAAATTTATGAAACATCGACATTTCAACAAGTTGCTTCAGATTATGCATGCTAATGTGGGAAAAAAACAGACATGGAATACTTTATTTCAAGCATACCTGGGGCCATATATCCAAAGGTGCCAATAACTCCAGTAGTCTGTGGAGCAGAAGAAGACTGGTCCATGAGCTTTGCAATGCCAAAATCTGCTATATGTGGAACCATGTCCCCATTCAGAAGTATATTACTGGGCTTAATATCTCGGTGAATAATTGCAGGTTGACAGTCATCATGAAGATACGCTAGCCCATGGGCAGTACCAAGAGCTATGGTATAGCGCACACTCCAGTCCAAACTTGGAGGAGGTTGGATCCCATGCAGAACATCTTGAAGGCTACCTTGCTCCATATAAACATAAAGCATGAACCCATACTCACTTCTTAACCAAAACTCTTTCAGCTTTATCAAGTTCCGATGCTTGATTTTGCCTAATGTCTTCAGTTCTCTGATCATGCTTTTGTACGAACCTTTCTGTGCAGATATTGCAAGCTTCTTTACAGCATATACTTCTCCTGACCTCAGTGTTGCCTTGTAAACAGTTCCATGAGCACCAGTACCGATGATATACTTGTCATCAAAGTTTTCAGTAGCCTCTATAACCTCATTTAATTTAGAAGAAGAACCTTCAAACAGAGTACTGACTGATTCTAAATTTTTTGTCTTTGGATGATAAAACTTTAAAAGGATGCAACTCAGTATAAGTATGGAAACTGCTCCAACGAACAATGAACCAATAACTATAACAGCAATCTTGACGTGTTTGTGTAGTTTTTTGGTCTCTCCACAAGGTTTCAAAACATTAGACCCCTTGCAATAAGAACCATTGGTATGGCAAGAGATACAGAGGTCTGGATTGCCATTAAAGGAGCTCGGTGAGGAAACCAGAAAATTCAGAAGATTTTCTGGGACCGGACCACTGAATCTATTGTAGGAAACATTCAATACATGCAGTAATTGTAAGTTTCCTAACATGTCTAGGTCTCCAGTGAGGCCATTAAGTGACAAATCTAAACTTTGCAGCTCCACCAAATTGCTCAATAATGGCGGAATGCCACCAACGAGTCCATTGCTACAAATATTCAATGCAATGCCCAGTTTTACCAACCTTCCTAACGATGAAGGGATACTGCCCCCAAGAACGTTGCCACCAAGTTGCAGCTCAATAAGCATATCCAACTGCGAGAGGGAATCAGGTATGCCTCCACTGAATTTATTCTCTTGTAACCGTAGTTGTGACAGAAACTTAAGGTTGCTTACGGTTGTGAGTGCCGAACCATTCAAAGAGTTGAAACTCAAGTCAAGCAAGTACAGCTTGGAGCAACTAGAAATCTGCACTGGAAGAACACCTTGCAGGCTGTTTTGCGAGAGGTTTAGCACTCTCAAATTCACCAAGTCTCTAATTTCAGATGGTATTGGACCAACCAACTTGTTTTCTGACCATTTTATCATCGTAATATTTACACATCTCCCCAAGCTTGCTGGAATGTTGCCACTTAAGGAATTATGACTCAGATCTATATAGCTCAGATTTGCACAGTTCCTAAATTGTGGAATGGGCCCACTTAGATTGTTGTTTTGGAGAATAAATCGTTCCAAACTTGGGCAGTCCATAACATTGGATGGGATGCTACCATTGAGAAGATTAAGCCCCAAGTCCAAAATTCTCAATCTTTTCCCTGAACAAATGTTAGGCGGGATTCCACCAACAAAACTGTTGTTTGTGAAATCAATTTGGGTTAAACGACTATTAACACCCAAATCTGGTGGTATAACTCCAGTGAAGAAATTGTTGAAAAGTGTAATGTTCTTCAGGAACTTCAGCTCAGCTAGCACTGGAGGTAGCCTCCCAGTAAAACTGTTTTCATAGATAAGGACACTTTGCAGGCTCTTGATGCTCCAAATATCCTCAGGGAACTCCCCAATGAGGCGGTTTTCAAACAGAAAGAGTTTCTCCAATTTTCTCAGATTTGCCAGCTCTTTAGGAACAGTGCCATTGAGCTGGTTTGCATCCAACTCCAGCCACACCAGCAACTGGCAGTTACCTATCTCAGGAGGAATTGGCCCAGAAAGTGAGTTCTCAGAAAGTAAAAGTTGAGAGAGGTTTCTCAATAAACCCAGAGACGATGGAATCTGGCCAGATATATTATTGTTGACAAATGCAAGCTGTGTCAAGCTACTACAATTCCCTAGCCATGATGGAATTTCGTTGCTAATCTGATTGAATGACAATATGAATACCTCAAGCTTGCAATCCTCAAAACTAAATGTGATCTCACCTGTGAAACTATTTGCGGTAATATCGAAAATCTTCAGTCCTTTGATATAGCTCAAGGTTTTCGGAAGACTCCCACTCAATTGATTATCTAGTAGATAGAGCTCCTCCAACTTGGTGCAGTTGCCAATTGAATCTGGTAGAACTCCAGATAATTTATTGCCATGCAGCCACAGGTACCTAAGGCTAGTCATTTCTCCAACTGTCAAGGGGATAGAACCACTGAGTTTATTGTAATGGAGGTACACTTGCTCCAGAAACTGATTCTTGAACAACCCCTCTGGTATTTCACCAGTGAGGGAGTTACTGTACAAAGAGAGAGACGAAAGCTTTTTGATGTCACCAAGGGATGCTGGTATCTCACCAGAAAAACTGTTACTGGACAAATCCAATTGATCAAGCATGCTACAATTGCCCAATTCTTGAGGGATTGAACCAGATATGCTGTTATTTGACAAACTGAGTACTTGTAGGCTCTTCATAAGTCCTATTTGGGGTCCAAGAGAACCAGAAACTCCAGAAGATGACAGGTCAAGAGAAACCACACTATTCTTTTTGTTGCAGGAAACCCCATCCCAATTACAAGGAGTTGTATCAGAAGCTTTCCAAGTGGAGCTTATGGAATGAGGTAATATGAGATCCCTAGACAGAGAAAGAAGGGCTAGACCATCTGAAGTCAAACTCCAAGACGATGAAACAGAAGTGAAGAAGAAGAAGAAAAACCAGTGCCACACAACCAGCCTCATTTTGTGCCTGAAAAACATTGAACGGCAGTCAGCAGAAGCTTATTAGATCTCTACTTCATGTGGGAAAAAAAGGCGGTTCCTAGAATTGTCTCATGAATGCATACTCCATCTTGAGTACCAAATAACAAACTTTTCTGTAATCATTTGTCAAACAGCACAATTTTAGAAGGAAGTAGCTTGTGCGAAACTGCAACAGCGACCCATGCAGTTGAGTGGTATGGGCTAGTACAGTAGTACACTAATACTACTATGTACTAGTATTATTAAAATTTTTGAGAACCAATACTTAATGAGACTTGCTGGTATGGTTTTACAGTTTTCTTATCTTTTCAGTATATTTTCTTATCTTTTGAGTATAAAAATGTTTTAAATAATAAACCATACCTGATTGGTTATGCTTTTCTAGTCATAATTAAGGGTCACCATATTGATGTCCAAATGTCTTTTTTTTCCAAATTAATCAAAGATATATTAGAGCTTCTACATATGTACGGGAAATATACATAAACATTAAAGTAGCATAACCATACAATTGCTAGCATAATTTCATACATAAGCATTAATGTATCTCCGGCCCAGGCCACCAAATTCTACCAAGAGAAAACCAATTGGTATTTTACATAATCAAATGCAAATATGTCTACTACTAGATCTTTTACAGAAAAAGAGAAAAAAAAAGTCAACCGGAGTCTGCTTTTTCTCCTCTCCAAGTAAACCCGAGAATGTTCAACAAGTCCAAAAAGAAGTTTTTTTTACTCCTTTGGTTCAGAAAAATCACCACTAATCTTCACAACAGTTGCGAAGAGTTAAACCATGAAAGGGATGCCCCAAAGCCACCCCAACCCGGATCTCAGCCTTGGGGGAGGAACGAACATGCTAAAGCACATCTCTTCCGATTTCCCCAGCAAAAACAGTTGAATTCGATATCTTCCTCAACCCCCCCATGTTCCATTAGTACTAAGATTTGGGCCAGGAGGCGGTGGAACTTCATATGCATCTGCGAGGAAATCCCCACAATGCTACCAATAGCACAGCAAATTTGCAAGAATGGTACCTAATAAAGCTTTTTTTGTTTGTTTGTTTGTTTGTTTCAACTTTCAAGCATGAAGAGCACCAAATTTTGCTCCTCCATTGGGGACATAACTGATTACCCTACAACCTACCGAATCAGCATCAAGAACCAAGAAACCCAGCAACTAAGCGCAATGCAAGAAAGTAATATGAAAGAACAGAATCATATCCTGAGAAAGAACTCTGTCATGAAGCATCTATACGCACGAATCAAGCTAGCAGTTCCAGACGAAAGCAAACAAACGATATAACAACAAGAACACCGGCCCAAAAGAGAGCAGATATAACTGTAACCATAAACGAGCAAGAAGAAGAGCGTACGAACCAGAATAAGGCGAAGATTGAGGCGAGCACTGCTCTAATGGCAGAGTTGGCCGTCCATGGCGGAAGAAACGGCAGCACACGGGAGTACGGGAGGGATGAAGCCGCGATAGCACCCACTGCTTTCACTGGAGAAACAGTAGTAATAGTACACTTTCTGTCGACAGGATCAGGTGTGCGTGTGACTGCTCCTGCCTCCTCTGATGGTGGTGGTGGTGGAGGTGGTTGTCGTAGTAATGGCGGGTGTGGGGGCGGCGCACGGGACGGGACCAGGCGACGGCGACGAGGGCGGTTTCACACACACGCATCCGCGATGGGAATTTGAGGTTGCAACCTGCGTCACCTGTTCCCATGCGCAGGTGTCGCGGACCCGTGTGGTGCATGTTCACATTGGTTTCTTTTCTTTTCTGGCGTGAACACCTTTTATGCCTCGATTTGTAGGCGGTTTTATTTCTATATTCGGATTGAAAAAGTTTGGGTTATTCTGTACCGCTGTTCGTGTCGTACAGTTTTTATAGCAGAGAAGGTAGTAGGATATACCATATATTTTCTAATGTAGATAAAAATTTTGGTACACTTTTTTGTTTTCTCATTGATTGTAAAATTTATTTTTATAACTTCATGTGTATTACTCCCTGCGTTTCCAATCGATCATCATATTATATGAGTGTACAAATACATATGACAAATGGATGATGCAAATTAAAGCAACGTTACTATTTTCTAGATGATGTAGCACAATACATGTCTAAGGATATCGCATCTCTTTCTCACGTCGCCCTACCCAGGGGCGGCTCGGGAGTCGACGATCCGGCCACCCCTTCCCCCCTCCATCTTCCTTCTCCGCCTCGCCGTCGCCCGAGCGGCCGCCGGCAAAGCCGCGCAGCCGCAAGGACGGCGGCGGTGGTGCTTCTCGCCAACTTGCTCGGGCAGCCAGGGGAGTCACCCTGGGTGGCGGCGATGACAACCACCAGATCTGTGTCGCCTCGGCCGGATCTAGCGGGGTGGCGGCCGGCAGCGGGGAAGGCATCGGCAACGAAGGCAACGGGGATGGCGGCAGGGATGGTGACGGCGACGGCAGTCTCGGCAATAGGAGGCGGCGGTGGCGGAGACCGCGGATCCGGTGGCAGGGCACCCGGATCTGGCACCTCTGCGCTGGATCTGCCCGGTGGCGGCGTGGGCGGGCCGGCGCGGCCTGGTGCGGCTGGCAGGAGGATGGCGCAACCATGGGTGATGGTGGCGACGGGCCAGCGCGATGCGGCGGCGTGGCCTGGGAGACTTGTGGCGACGACGGCGACAGCGGGCAGCCGACGAGAGGAACAACGGCGGAGGCAGTATGCGTGGAGGCGCAGCTAGTGACGCCGGAGGCTGATAAGGCGCGGCCGGTGACAGCCGCGGTGCGTGGAGGCGAGGCCGAGGTGCCGGTGCGTCACGACAAGGCTTGCCGGTGTGGAGACAGTGGAGAGGCGCTAGTGGAGGCTAGCTCGATGATACGTGACCGGTGGTAGCGCATGGAGACTGGCTGGCGGGGGCCGCCGGTGCAGTGGTGCCCACGCGCTAGCGGAGGTTCAGATGGCGGTGGAGCAATGGTGCATCAGTAGTAGACTGGCAAGCGGTGGACGACGGGTGAAAACCCAGGGCAACGATGGCGTTCGAGCGTCATTCCCCTCTTGAGGGCGTTGTCGTGCCGTTTCACCCCTCAAGTGTGGTTGTCGGGCGCAAGCCCAGTCTCGGTTCTCTTTGAGACCTTGACGGATGGTGGCGGCGGTGTTTTCGTTGCTTTTCTCCTTGGAGACATCGTCTAGGCATCCCTTGCCAAAACTCCCCAAGCAATTGGTTCAACCCCGCTCTAGATTCATATCCTCTTGTGTCGGTGTCCTAGCTTCTACAAGTTGGCCACGTCGGAGGGCCTAGGGGGGAGAGGTGTTCCATTCTTCTCTCTCACCCTCTCTCCCTAAATCCCAAAGACTTGAATAGAGTGGGGGTTTTGTGTTGGTAGTAAGGGTAGGGTTTTGGCGATCTCAGCCGTGTTCCATTGTTGGCCTAGTGGCGGCCGGTCCGGTGCTAGTCTTCTTCTGGATCTGTGTGTTGGAGCTATCGGTGTGTGGGTGGTGGTATATTTTTTTCGTTTTCCTGGTTATGACCTTGAAGGGTTGTAATCTTTTAATTTTTTCCTGCTACATCAATATAGCAACGTAAAAAAAGTACGTGTCTAAGTTTTTTTATCTCAACTATATATGATATATAGATATGTATAGTACAAGATTTGTGATTGGACCACTTTCATTCGAGGAGAAATGTCTTCTGTAGGGCGTTTTTCTTTTTACGCATTTTTTATTTCACAATTGTGCAGAAAGAGCTTTTTTTTTTCAGAATGGAATTGGCACCTTCACGTATCGATTTGCTAAAGGTTGAGAAAAAAAAAGCTTTTGAAAAAAAAAACAGCCAACTACAAGCAAAAAAAGCTCTTCGTTGGTCAAACTTGATGGCGTTGTTATGGTTACATTGTTTGGTGACGGGGACTTATTTTGATAGACGAGTTAAAACTCGCAACACAACCCGTGTTACGATCGAAGAAGAGGAATTTATAATAAGTACAGTAGCATATATTCTCCAGAACTAGCTTTTGACATTTGCTACTACTTCACATATTAAAAATGTTGCCCCATGATCGCATTTTTCTTATACTATACTTACGAGAGTAGCTGTATACATTTTGTTATCTTATCAGGTATACTGGTGCCAATCGGCCTGACGCACTAACGACACGGCAGGTTGTTAATTGGAACGGCGGATTTTGTTCCCATGTGACTATCCTACTAATTAACCGGTAAACTAGTACCAGATGGAGATTGTTTTTTTGGCCTGAAGTTGACAGCCATTTGCCAACAAAACAACCATGCCTTTTCTAACTACACGGTTCGACGGTCAATGTTGCTCAGAATTCAGAAATGCAGAGCATATCAGCATGCATGCAACCTTTCCTTTTACAGCCTTTCGCACTGACTTTTTAGCTAGATGACACCTTGACGCCAGTGTGACAGCCGACGGCCTTTCAAGTTAATAGTTATATTTCCAAATCTAAAAAAATTATTTTTGATAGACATATTTCAATTCAACAACCTATTATCTTAATGACTTTCTTGGATTTAATGCGTGACACTCTATTCTTCCACACAAGATTGGCTACATGGGTATCGAGAAATGTAAATATTAATGAATGGCTTGTTTACGAGGAATGACTAGTAGCATGTTTAAATAAATGTTGAGTAAAATTACTTATTCTTGATCTATGTGTGAAGATGAAATATGACTATAAAAATAGATGGAGGGAGTACAAAGTCAACAAAGCGCATCTTTACTTTTACTGTTCCATTGAATTTACAAGAAGCGTCAACAGATTGTTTACTTCGATAGTTCCATCGAAACAAGAAACATCATCAACAGATCCAAGTCAACAGAGCGCGTGTTTACTTTTACTGTTCCATTGAATTTACAAGAAGCGTCAACAGATTGTTTACTTCGACAGTTCCATCGAAACAAGAAACATCATCAACAGACAACAGATCAACGTTAACTTTGACTGTTCGATCGAAGTTTCAACACATATTCAAGGTAACTTGGAGAATAGACGATAAGGACAGCGATTGAATGCTGCAGGTGTTGGTCTATTTTCAGCTTTTGGTTTGTCAAACCAAAACAATGGAGAATGCCAGGTACTACGGCATGTACTCAGTTAATTTGGACTGAGCTGCAACCATAAAATAATTATATCTTCACATGGGCTATAATAATCAGATCAGAATATCATATTGCTCCAATGCTCCTCACGCATGTTCCTTGACTTGGAAAGAAAAAAGAAAGATCAGATTGATCCAAGACTAGATAACAAGGAACTTTTGTGCAGAATATATGGGGACTGGCTTCGCCTATTATAATCGGTACCAAACAGAACACGAAAAGCATGTGAAAGATTTTTCTACGATTTGATTGTGCATGATATCGTATACACAATAAACTAACAAAAAAATTGGACATGGATATTGGACACCTTACCTGCAATGTTTTATTCACATTCCTCCTGTTGTTGAGAAATCAAACCCAAAGTTTATACCCTCCATGTCATGTATGATCTACAGCTCAAGAGTTCAATTGAGATTGCTTATTATCAGATCAACATTAACAGATTTCTTTCAGATAATGGATAAAACCCTGGCCTCTACACGAACTGACATTAACAGATAAATGAAGGATTCAGTACCAAAGAAGAATACCTTAATTAATCTGTTTCAGCCAGGAGATTTGTCAGTCACCGAAGGAGATCACCTGAGCCAACACTATTAGACCATTGGCTTGTTTTCATTTCTTAGTACCTACGAGAGTTCATGGTACAAGCTTTGTGCTTTTGTATCCTGTTCAGCCATCAAGAATTGCTGGGGCCTGAATTCTGCTTCGAGTATGAGCCAGCAACATGTCTTGCATCTGTCAGCTCTTTGACAACAACGGCCATGGAAGGCCTTTGGCTTGCCTCCTTTGCTGTGCATCTAAGAGCTAATGACAACAGCTTGCGCACTTCTTCCATTTCATGTGTTCCATATACTTCAGTAATGAGAGCTGGGTCGCAAATAGTTTCGATCTGATTAGTCTCATTCAACTTGGAGGATACCCAGCTAACTATGTCCATGTTGCCAGGGAATGAGGAATCCACAGCCATCTTTCTGGTGATCAACTCAAGTAATACCACACCGTAACTGTACACATCGAATTCTGTGGTAGCCTTGGTTGAAAAGGCCATTTCTGAAAGAAACCATACAACCTATCATATATTACTGTACATCTGTATCCAGATGCTTGATTCAAGAATATGAACAGAATGAAACTAGAATCTGCGACTCATAACATGTTGAATATGATCAATGACAAGAAGCTATCTATCCCCCCAAATACAGTAGCGGAAAATAGAAATAAGTAGTTGATAATAACAAAAATACAGTTCAAGACTGAAGTTTCTTGATAATTCAAATGGCCTGCTAACCTAGTTCACATGAGTGGATTCTTTCATAGCGTTCAGTTTGAATGGTTTTCAAGGCCCATGGGAATGGATTGGGAAAAGCTGGTCTGCATCATTACCTTTAGAACCAGTTATAATTGATGTTGTATTACTTCTTTCTCAAAATATCTAAGACAGCTGTCATTAACAAAAACATATATTGAATATCAAATTATGCAGACATGCATATGTATGCAACTTCATCCGTTATGTGTGGCATACTTGTATCACACGCTCTATTCTTTGCCAAAAAAACTCAGATGTAGCTGCCGAATATTAACACAGGTCACAAGAAATTCCAGACTAAACTAGAAGATGAGAAAAACCTATTTAACGAAAACATTTCCACTATTTAATAAATATGCAAAATGCTCACAAGGGAAAGAAAAATGAGAGGATAGTAGCTAGATCACAAAGACAATATGCAGCTTCGTTTAACCCTTACCTGGGGCCATATATCCAATAGTACCAACGATTCCTGTGGTCTGTAAAGCAGCAGGATATTGATCCATGAGCTTTGCAATGCCAAAATCTGAGATATGCGGTACCATGTCGTTGTCCAGCAATATATTTTTTGGTTTAATATCTCGATGTATGATAGCAGGGTGACAGTCATTATGGAGATATGCTAGACCATGGGCTGTTCCAAGAGCTATGCTGTAGCGGATGCTCCAGTCCAAAGTTGGAGTGGGCTCAGTCCCATGCAACACATCATACAGGCTACCATTCTCCATAAAATCATATAGGATCAAACCATACTCATGCTTAAACAAGAATTCATTAAGTCTTATCAGGTTCCTGTGCCTAATTTGACCAAGCGTCTGCAGCTCGCGGATCATGCTTGCATTTGAGCCCTTGTGAGCAGCATGTACAAGCTTCTTTACAGCATATACTTCTCCTGACCTCAGTACTGCCTTGTAGACAATTCCATGGGCCCCGGAACCGATAATGTACTTGTTATTGAAGTTTTCAGTCACTTCTACAGCCTCATTTAATTTAGAAGAAGATCCTTGAAATAATATACCTAAATCACTGTTAATCTTAGGCTTGAAATTATATTTTAGAAGGACACAGAGTATCAGAAATGCACCAGCAAAAACCGAACCAAGAACTATCATAGCAACCTTGAGTGGTGTGAGTGCACTTTTTTTACTCATTGAACCACAAGGTCTCAAAACATTAGAACCTGTGCAAGATGAATCATTTTCATGGCAAGAGATACATAGATCTGCATTTCCACTAAATGAACTTGGAGTGGAATTCAGAAACCTCACAAGATTTTTTGGTACTGGTCCACTAAACATGTTGTAGGAAACATTCAAGAAATACAAAAACTGTAGGTTTCCTAATGAAGCAAGACCTCCGGTGAGGTTATTAAATGACAAATCTAAACTCTGCAGCTCCACCAAATTGCCTAGTGGTGGAATGTCACCAACTAGTCCATTTCTACTGAGGTTTAATGCAATGCCCAGTTTAACTAACTTTCCTAACGATGAAGGGATACTACCCCCAAGAATGTTGCCACCAAGTTGCAGTTCAATAAGCATATCCAACTGAGATAAAGAATCAGGTATACCTCCACTGAATTTATTCTCCTGCAACCGTAGCTGTGACAGAAATTTAAGGCTACTTACAGTTGTGAGTGCCGAACCGTTCAAAGAGTTGTAGCTCAAATCAAGCTTATATAACTTGGAGCATCCAGAAATTTCCACAGGGAGTTCACCATATAGTCTGTTTCCTGAGAGGTTAAGACTACTTAAGTTCCCTAAGTTCCCAATTTCTGATGGTATTAGACCAGCAAGCTTGTTCCATGACCAGTTCACAAATGTAACATTGATACATTTGCTCAAGCTAGCAGGAATGTCCCCACTTAATAAATTATAGCTGAGATCAATATAATTAAGACTGCTACAATTTACAAATTGTGGAATTGATCCAATGAGATTATTTTGGTTGAGAATTACTCGTCTCAAAGTTGGGCAGTCAGCGATACCAGAGGGGATGCTACCATTGAGAAGATTTGAACCCAAGTTCAAAACTTCCAATCTTCCCCCTGAACAAATTTTTGGAGGGATTGTGCCAACAAAACTATTGTTTATGAAATCAATTACGGACAAACTGCTATTTACACCCAACCCCTGTGGTATGACACCAGTGAATGAATTATTGAATAGCGTAATTTGCTGGAGCTGCTTCATCTCAGCCAACACTATAGGCAGCTGCCCAGTGAAATTGTTTTTATAGATGTCGACAGATAGTAGGCTTTGGATTCCCCATATATCTTCAGGAAACTCCCCAGTGAGGCAATTCTCAAAAAGATAGAGCTTCTGCAAGTTCCTCAGGTTTGCTAGTTCTTTTGGTATAGTGCCCTCGAGCTGGTTTGCATCTAGATGCAGCCATATCAGCAATTGGCAGTTACCAATCTCAGGAGGGATTGTGCCAGACAAGGAGTTCTGGGAAAGTACAAGGTAAGAAAGGTTTCTCAATAAACCGATTGAACTTGGTATTTGACCGGTGATACTATTGTTGACAAATGCAAGCTGTGTCAAGCTGCTGCAATTCCCTATCCACACCGGGATTTCGCCTCTGAGATAATTGAATGACAAGATGAACTCCTCAAGCTTGCAGTTCTCAAATCTGAAATTGACCTTGCCTGTGAAGCTATTGCGGGAGAGATCAAAAACCCTTAATGCTTCAATATTGCTCAATGTATCTGGAAGGATCCCACTCAATCGATTACGTAGTAGATGGAGCACCTCCAGTTTGGTGCAGTTGCCAATGGAACTGGGCATTGGTCCTGATATACCATTACCTGATAAATCAATGACTTTCAGGTGCTTCATGAGTCCTATCTGAGGACCTAGAGAACCAGACAATCCAGAATATGATAAGTTAAGAGAAACCACATTGCTCATTTCATCACAATCAACTCCTTTCCATGTACACGGAGTTGCATCATCAGCACTCCAATTCGAGCTTATGGAGCTGGGCAGTATCAGAGTCTTGGCTAGATCCAGAAGAGCCAGGCCATCTGCGCTCAAACTACAACACAATGGGGCCAAGCTGAACAAGACAACCAACCAACACCATATGTGCAGTCCCATTATGCTCCTGAAATCATAATCCGTCGGAAATCAGCAAAAAGATGATATTTTCCCCATTATATGCATATGTAGAACAAAATCCACATCCGCAGGCAATACAGAAGAAGCAAAATGACGCATTTTTTTCTACGAAGCATCTAAATATTCCAAGAAACCCATGGTAACAAACAAGAAAAAGATTGAGCTTTTCCTAGATACTCACGAGGGAGTAGTGAGATCCAGACTGGACTATGGTCAAGAATATTCTAAATAAGGAGAAGATTACGATTGAAGTCGACGCCTTTACACCACCTTTGTCTGGTCAGCAAGGAGTCTGCAGCACCGCGGAATCACAACCAACCTCCTCCGGAATACCGCCATGCCCTGTAACTACGCCGCCGCCGCCGCCGCCGCCATCCGCGTGCTCCGCTTCGGCGGCGAGACCCACGCCGCTCTCTCCGAGTCTCCGACCCGTCTGTGCCGTTGGGCTAACTCTTCTTGGGCCAAGCGATTCCATCCAAGAACCACATTTTAGTAGGCTTACTTTCCCAGGCCCAATCATCCAAGTATCCAACAGAAGAAAAAGATTAAAAAAAGATTAAGACATCTTGAGCTGGTAACCTAACCTAACCAAACCAATCCCTCTTCATCCTCCTGCTCCTTCCTCCATTCGCATTTCCATTCCTCTGAAACTCCTTGCTCTAGACCATTAAACCGTCTACTACGATTGTCAAGACATTCGGGTATTGAAACTAACAACATATACTTATGGTTCAATCTTCTGCAGATCTACTGGGATTAGAAAGCACAGGGACAGGGAAAAAAGTTCACTAGTTCAGTGTGCAAGAAAATGGAGAAAAAAAATGGCTATTGAGGCAACTCATTAGCAGCTTGCAAGAAAAGAATTTTGGACTGTGGCAGTGAGTCTGTGACCAAAAGCAAAAGGAGAAATTAAGAACGTGGCTTTAACTAAGCACAAAGATTCAGAAAATCCTTACTGCCAACTCAAATCTTGGGCGCCTTCTTGCGACGATTCTTTGCTCGTGCCGATCAGACTCTTGCAAGGACAGTTCTTTCGTAACTGTCAAGAGCAGAACGGCTGAGAAGAAACTGCAAAGGGCAGTATATGCTTTAGTGCGCTAGTACTGGTAATCAGAGAGTTAATGATAGATCACGTACGAGTTGAGAGTAGATAACCTGTGCTAGCTATTCTAGAATCTAGACCGGGCCAAAAGCCTAATCGCTCTGAAAGCTACACATCAGCGAACAACCTGTGTGTCGTGGGCCTGATGTTTCTCGAGCAATTGGAGTTCAGAGAGTTGCAGGAGAAGAGTGATGACAGATTGACAGATCGATTGACAGCAACCCATAGCTTCGTCAACGCATATACCTCTACGACTTTTGCACCTATGGCGTGTGCACTACTCTCGCTTAATCACACTAGCAAATCGTTGCCCATCAAACAGATGGGGAAAAGTAAATTAATCAGTCGGCTCATTGACAATGGGGAAAGTGGTTGATTAATTAGGACGGGCAGCCGCAACAGTAGGTAAAAACAAGGGAGCATGAGCATAGTTAATTCGTCACGAAAAGGATGGTGGATGGATGATCATGGAGGTCATTGCTGACTATGAAATCTGTAGTATATTCTTTGCAGCCGTAAGAAGAACTTGCACGAATCGCGCACGATCGGATCTTGCTGTTTGCTCGTGTGAATTTCAAGGAAGTCTTCTGCCCGGTTTGTCAATATCAAGCAGCCATGCTTATATATTGCCAGTCCAACTTGAGGTACTGCAAGGCAGTACGGTGAATTCACAGTTCCTACAGTATTTGCTACGGAGTCAAAGCAAGCAAGTTGGGCACGTGGACAGTAAAAAAGGAAATGCACATGTCATTCTTTCTTAATTTGACTCTGATTGCTATTTTTTTTCTCGTAGAGTTCGAATAGTTATATTTACTTTTTGAAAAGTATACTACATTTGTTTTTAATAATAGATGACGCTGTTAACTTTTTTCGCACATTTAAACCATTTGTCTTAGTTAAAAAAGTTATATATTAGTATAATTTATTTTGTTGCGGGGTTATTTTATCACTCAAAACTTTAAGAATAATTTTGTTGTGGAGTATCTTATATATTTGCATAAAATTTTCAATAAAGACGAATGATTAAACATGTGTTTAAAAGTTAACGCATTATCTATTGAAAAACAGAGGAAATACATACTTATTCATTTTTTTCCACGGAACATCAAGCATGATCTCGAGTTATGGCAGTTTTTTTTTTGACACTGTCATGGCAGATCCAAATACAAGTATTTCACTTCTTTTCCCGGAAAAAAAAGATAGTAAAAAATGCATCCCAAATGGGCCCTTCTTTTCTTAAACGATCAGGCTAGTGGCCCGGTTATCCATTTGCTTACTCTTCCATTGTAAATATATAGGAAAAAGTACACCAAAGGTCCCTTATTTTGTCATTGAATTACAAAATCGTCTCTCAACCCTAAAACCAGATATATGACATCACTCAACCTACAAAACCAGATTACTTTAGATCCTTAGACGGTTTTGACCCAGTTTTATGCAACATGGCAACTGTGTCAAATGTGGGACCCACATAAGCCCCACATGTCAGCTACTATTTCCCCTCCCCTCTCTCTCTCTTCCTGTCCCCCTCTCCGCTCTTTCTCCTCGACTTGGAGCATGTGGCGAAGACAAGTGGCGGTGACGCTAGGTGGCCAGTGTTGCGGAGATGGTGTGCGGCAGCTGCTGCCGCCTTTCCACCGCCCACTCGCCCGCTGCAACCTTTCCACCGACGAGCGGGCGAGCTGGGCGTGGGCGGCTGCGACGTCATCGACGCGGCGGGAGGAGGGCCAGCGTGACGGCCAGCGACCGGTGAAGAGGAGTTGGGCGGTGGCAGCGTCACCGACGCAGCGGGGAGGAGGGCCAGCGAGGTAGATGCAACTGGTGGTTGTTCGCGTAATCTTGCGATGGCGAGGATAACCAGCTAACGGTGAACATCTACCACCACCAGGGGTGTGCTGCGGCTGGTGGAACGGTTCGTACCAATGGTGTTCGCTCCCAATGCGATTCCGCCGTTGCGGCGCCCGCCTCTCTCCGCGCCCACCACCGCGGTGGTCGAGCAGCCCAGGAGTGACGTCGCCCGTAGTCCTTGATGTCATGCCAGCGGTTGATGCAGTGGGCAGGAGTTCGTTCGCACTGTAGTCGCGTACCAGGAGAAGCTGCAGGCCACCACCGCCGACGTGTCGCAGTGCGCGCTCGCCTCGCCGAAGTTGAACCAGGAGATGGAGAAGCAGCGCAAGGTGCTCATCCGGAGCTTCTCGCTCGCCAAGAACCTATGTCTTTGGCGGCGAAGCTGGCACGTCGCGGCTGGCCAGCTTGGGAGAGAAAAGGAAGAAGGGATCAGACAAGTGGGCCCCATCTTTTTATTATTTGATTATTTTTTTGGATCAAACTGCCATGTGAGCGCTACGTCAAAGTCACCTGGGATGAAGACCTGGTCAAAAGGGACATGCATGCGCCATGTCAACCAAAACTAGAACAATACCACTGAGGGACCTTGTTTGTACTGGTTTGGTAAGTTCAGGGATGCGTTGTGTCTAGGTTTTTGGTTGAGGAACGATTTTGTAGTTTGGTAACAAGATGAGGGACCTCCGGTGTACTTTTTCCAAATATATATGCCCATCGTAGAAAGATGTACATATACTGGGCTAACCGAACAAAAGAACGAAAAAGTCCAATTTTACTCCTAAAAAAAGTAGAGGTCGGATCTTATTAGTATCCCTCAACCGTAAAACTGCATATAATGATTCCCTTAACTATCAATACCGATTAAATTTACCTCTCCAGGTGTTTTGGATAGTGGTTTTATCCTATGTGGCACATGTTGACCTAGTTCTTTTCCTACATGACGTTTATGTGGCATTATAATTAGGAAAAAACCGTGGAACCCACGTGTAAGTCCCCAATCTCATCGTCTTCCTCCCCTCACAATTCCGGCAAGATTAGATACTAGAGAGCCTAGCTAGCTTCTCGACCACCGCCGTAGCGTGGGGGAGAGGAGGCGACGGTGAAGTAGCAGGAGGAGCAGAATCTCGTTGGCCGGGGGGGGGGGGGAGGGGGGGTCACTGGTGAACCCCATCACAGATCGATGACGATAGTGCTGGCCTAAGAACCGGTTTTGGTACTTCAAGAACACGCCCTTCATCTCATCAAACGAATTCACCTCAAATTGAGAAGGACGCCTTCCCCGAACATGCCCTTCATCTAGCGTGGCTAATGGGCGGGTGATCGCCCACAGCGATCACCCCCCATCCCCCTCTATACGCTCCTCTCCCCCTTCCTCCTCCCCTTCTTCTCTTCCAACTACACCATAAATTTTTTAAAAAATAAATAAACAAAGTTGGAAAAAATTATGTATAGAAATAAAACATATAAAAAATATTTGAATTCAAATTCAAATTTGAAACGGGTATGTAAACTTTTGACTTATAAACTTTGGGTCTATAAACTAATATTTGAATTCAAATTCAAATTTGAAACGGGTATGTAAACTTTTGACTTATAAACTTTGGGTCTATAAACTAATATTTGAATTCAAATTCAAATTTGAATCGGGTATGTAAACTTTTGACTTATAAACTTTGGGTTTATAAACTTTAGGTGTATAAACTTTAGATGTATAGAAATACTATATATAAAAAAATATTTGAATTCAAAATCAAATTTGAATCGGATATATAAACTTTTGACTTATAAACTTTGGGTGTCTAAACTTTAGATGTATAAATTTACTAAAATAGGAAAGTTATGCGGTGCCAAAAACGGAAACCACGTGGAGGAGGGGGGGTGATCGATCGCCATTAGCCTTTTCGCTTCATCTCATCAAACGAATTCACCATGGCCCAACCGACAGGCGGGCCTACTTATACATACCATGCCACTTACACTTTCATCCTAGCTTCGTGTAAAAGGATTAACACAGGAGTGGCATGGTTGAAGGGAACATGCCTTATAAGTTGGTTCCACTCGTGCTAAACTAGCAAGGTGGTACTAAACATGCGCACACAGCTCACATGAGCCACACATGCCTCATCCTAATTGGGCCAAGATGTCACATCGAGTGCGGAGACGGTGTACGCTCCAGGGACGAGGTGTCTGGGAGCGATGGATAGCGAGAAGCATGTGGTGGGTTCCTGATGGCTGTTAGCGGAAGTGGACACAATATCAGCAAAAACATCATTAAAACTATCGAGGGAGTCATTTTGTACAATTATAGTATTTGAAAGAGTCATTATATCCGGTTTTATGGTTGATGGATATGAATCATATCTGCCCAATATTTGAGGAAGTCAATTGGACTTTTCAAGCAAAGAAAATGGAGCCCTCTCAATCCAATTTTTACTAGGCCGGATCATAGCCTCAAACACCACGGATGATCCAACCATATCGCCTAGTCCCAAGATTGCTAAGGGGTGATCGATCGCCCCTAGCGATCAGCCAGTCCCCCTCCCCTCCCTCCACGTGGTTTTTTTTTTTTTGGCATCACATTACTTTCCTATTTTATTAAATTTATGCACCTAAAGTTTGTACACAACAAGTTTACACATCTAAAGTTTAGAGACCCAAAGTTTATAATTCAAAAGTTTATATATCCGATTGAAATTTGAATTTGAATTCAAATATTTTTTATATATAGTATTTCTATACCTCTAAAGTTTATAGACCCAAAGTTTATAAGTCAAAAGTTTATATACCTATTTTAAATTTGAATTTGAATTCAAATATTAGTTTATAGACCCAAAGTTTATAAGCCAAAAGTTTACATACCCGTTCAAATTTGAATTTAAATTCAAATATTAGTTTATAAACCCATCAAAAGTTTACATACCCATTCAAATTTGAATTTGAATTCAAATATTAGTTTATAGACCCAAAGTTTTTAAGTCAAAAGTTTACATACCCGTTTCAAAT